GTGTGTAATCATTATATTGAATTAAAATTTACACATTATTAAAATAATATAAATTAAATATTTTTTTTATTTCATTTTAATTAAGAAAATGATTTTAAAACACGTCGCCATCTGCTTCGCCTGGAAAAGCCGTCTTGTAGAATCAAGATCAGACAAGCTAAAACAAGTTAAATCGTAACCCGTTCACGCTGATGACGAGTATACTACGGCACATTTTTCTGAATAATCAATTTACTTTGTATCTTTACTGTGTGTGTATGTAATCATTATACTGAATTAAAATTTACACATTATTAAAATAATATAAATTAAATATTTTTTATTTCATTTTAATCAAGAAAATGATTTTAAAACATGTCGCCGTCTGCTTCGCCTGCAAAATTAAATTCATGAGATTATAAACAAAAGTTTTCTTCAGGTCTGTATGCCTTCATAGGATAATGATTAGCGTAACTGAAAAACTATTGTCCTGTGGAGACATTTTGATCTGAGGCCGTGAGTTTGAATCTGGATTTATTTATTTTTTATTTGAGCGTTATTTACTTCCATCATTTTAAAATCTATAATTAGTGTGTATTTTAATCAATAGGTGGCGGCATGAGCACGTTTAACATTCCCATACTTCCATTTTTTGTGCACATTTTTTAAAAACAACTCAACTTAGCTGTAGAAAAAAACAATTCAACTCGCCCCCTCAGCTCGAAAATCAAAGCCAATGCAGAAAAACAACTCAACTCGTCAGTAGGAACGAAACAACTCAACTCAACAGGAGAAAACAACTCAACTCGGCAACATGAACGAAACAACTAAACAGGAGAAAACAACTCAACTCAGCAGCAGGAACGAACAACTCAACTCGGCAGCAGGAACGAAACAACTCAACTCGCCAGTATGAACGAAACAACTCAACTCTGCACTGCCGTCGACCGCCTACAACCGCCTGCACCGCCTTTACAGCAGAATCGGCTTTTTCTACCCACTGCCGTTATCACTAATTAAAGAAATCGGACCTCTGTAACGTGAAATATAATTCTCAAAAAGGGCGTTAGCTATGGCCTGGACAGAAGCTTTTCATAAAGGAAAAAGCTCACTCCACTTAGTGAAATAATCAGATATTACTAATACAAAGCTATATATTTCGGGTCGGGATGCGGGGTAGGGGCCTAATAGGTCTAACGTTACAATTTCATTGGGGTAATTCGATACTATCGGAATTAAACGACCAGCTGGTAGCGCGTTTTTGTAATTAAATTTGTGACACCGGTCACAGGTTGATACATATTCAAATATATATTTCCTCATATATGGAAAATAACATGTGTCGCGTAATTTTAAATAGGTCTTCCTCTTTCCTAGATGACCTGCTAATGGCAGATCATGAAATTCTTTCATTATTGCTTCGCCGAAGCGATCTAGGAATATACACTCTTAGTTCTCCAAGAGTTGTAGAATATTTCGCGTAAAAGAGTAGACCGTCAATAATTTTGAAATCCTGGGATCAACCCTCACATACAGTCGCATTAACGGAACCATCGTCCGGATTTTCTAAATAACGATAGATGTGTCCTAACTCAGGATCTTCCCTTTGCTCTCGAATGAGTTGTTCTCGTGAGTTTAAGGCGAGGGCTCGAAGAGCTGCGCACGAAATTTGTGATCCATCCATGTTGCCTACTGGAATCCTAAACAATACGTCCGCGACAACGTTTTGGACGCCCGGTCGATGCTCCCATTCTATGTTGAACTCGGATAACTTGAGTGCCCATCTAATCATTCGACGAGATAAGTTTTTCCCATTCGTTAGCTTTGTTAATGCCACCTGATCTGTGATTACCTTCACCGGCAGGGATCCGAAATAAGTTTTAAACTTATTTAATGCCCATATAACCACCAAAGATTCGCGTTCAGTAACAGTATAGTTTCGTTCCACTTTACTGAGGGTTATAGACGTGAATGCAATAGATGGTTTTTATAGGTTTTTTTTATAGGTTTTGATTAAGCACAGCACCAATTCCGACCCCACTAGTTAAACTGTTCTGTAAAATTCGGCAACTGTAAAACTGGTGCCTCTGTTAATGCTCGTTTTATCTTATCAAAAGAATCCTGTACTTCTGTCGACCAATTAAATTTAGCCCCCTTTTTCTTTAACCGATATAATGGTTCACATATATCTCCATATTTGGGTATAAATTTCTGATACCACCCCGCCATCCCTAAAAACTTCGACACTTCCTTACTATTTTTAGGAGGTTTCATTTCTATGATTGCCTTCACTTTACTATTGTCTGTTTCGATCCCTTTCTTACTAATTACGAGACCTAAATACTTCCAACTTGTCACGTGCGAAGTGGCATTTTTCCTTATTTAGGGCTAGCCTTGCGTCTCTCAACAGTGTAAATACCTGATTCAAATAATCTAAGTGTTCATTAAACGATGGAGAAGTGATAATAACACCATCCACACACACACACATATAAACCGACACGACACGCCCAATAACAGGTTTTAATATTATATCAATGGCATTTTGGAAATTTGGCGCCGCCCCTGAAAGGCCGAAAGGCATTCTAAGGAATGCAAATGTGCCATTGCGTGTTATAAATGCGGTTTTCTCGATATCTTTTGGACTAATCGCCAATTGAAAATAACCACTTTTTAAATCCAATGTGGACATCACGCCGGTATGCGGAATGTTTGTGATTATATCATCAATCACCGGTAATGGATATCGGGGGTATTTAGTTATTGCATTAAGTTTGCGATAATCAATCGCAAATCGATACGGCTCAGGAGAATCCGGAGGAAGGCCATTATTCTTGCGCGTTAAAACTAAAGGTGACGTGTATGGGGATTGAATAGGACGGATCGCACCCTCTTGCAACATTTTCTCAATGTGATAATCGATTATTCCTTGTTTGACCCTGTCATACCTTTAGGGTTTCGACACTACCGGTCCCTTGTCCCCAGTATCGATTTCATGGTATAAAACATGAGTTAACCCCGGCTGATCTGAAAATAGCCCTTTACAACCATTAAATAAATTCCTTAATTTTTGCTTTTGCCCGTCACCTAGCTTTGTTTCTGATAGATCAATCTCGACCGGCTTGTCCATTTTCTGCAACTGCTTAATTTGGTTATCTGGAATGACATACGGTAAATCTACTGGAGTCATTCGTAATGAGGATACCCTAATAGTTCGGTGTTTCGTATCTGGAGGATTTTCCTTACATCGCGATCGATCACCCCCATACTCGCATCGATCGGTTAAAACTTTAAATATCTGTTTCGATCATTCTGACCCCTGAAAGCACTATTCCTCGAACCACCTTGTCGACCACCTTGATTGTGGAATCGAAGATCCGATTGACCACCTCGGGGTCGATCATCGAATCTCTGATTATCCGCAACACCTTGACTCTCAAATCTATTGAACTCTCTCCATGGTCAACTATTGTCCGCGTATCTATTGTTACCTGTCGTTTCCCTCCAATTTTCCTGCCGATTCCTGTTAGGGAAACGATTGTTTTCGTTTGCTTTTATATCTCAGGATTCCCAACTCGAACCTCCGATCTTTCTATTTAGAAACCGTTCCTCATACTTATCAATAATTTGTAGGAGGTTAGATGTGGTTTGCGGATGTTTAACCTCTACATAATCTAAAATCTGATGTTCTAACCTTCTAATAATATGATCGATCAATTTTTGCTCCGTCATTTTGAGTTTTAAGATTTTGTGAATCTTCAACAAATCATACACAAAATCAGACGGATTTTGGTTCTGCTTTTGAGATGATGAATAGAAACGCGTTTCTAGTTCCGACCTATTTCTAACCACGGGGAATTTTTCTGACAACGCTTGCTTTAAGTGCGCGTAATCCATCGCCTTGTCTTCAACAACCCTATAACCTAGAACCTCAAACCAATCTAATGCCCGTACTGTGAGATAACCCTTTAAATATGCACAAGCGAGTTGTGCGGGTATCTCGTAATATGTTAAGTTATCTATATTTTCCAAGAATTCAACCACATTCTCCACCCCCGAAAAATACTGCTCAGGTATGATTCGAAAATTAGATCCGACTCTAAACTCGGGATTTACTCGTTCGGCGCCACTGTGGTGAACCCCCTTGGGTATCATATTGAACACCAAAAATAATTTCAGGCAAAGAACCACTAAGAGCCATTTTGAATAATAATAATATTCATTTATTATTATAATTTTCTCAAAAAAATCTCTGATAACATATAATAAAATTATGTTACGTCACTTAAGGGATTTGCCTTTATATTAAATTAAATTGCAAATAATGCAATTAATTAATAATCAAGCTCAAGCTCAAGTAAGGTTTACCGAAATAGGAGATCCGACAAATATACGTACTCAAATTCTTCACTTTCATTAACTTTAACTAAGTTGCTTAAACCGGCGCTTATTTTAAGCGTACGTAAATTATATTTATCACTGGCTTATATCAGCTTTCTGGTACGTCTAGCAGCACGACGTCTTGCCGAATCTAATCTCCTGGGGGATACGTTTAAAGTCGATGGCTCAATAGCCTTCCATAAACTCACTTGCTATCTCGAAACGCTCGACTTAAATACAATATCTAAATTTAAATATCCCGTTCAACTTTTTGAAGTTGATTGAAAAAAAACGCGAATTTATATTCCCCAAAAAGACGCCTAAGAAGTTTAGTGGAAAGATTCCGAACAGATTCGTCACATATTAAATAAATATTCATAGCAGAGTGTGGTTTCGATCTACGAACCTCTGGCTAATGGTCCACGGACGCTTCCACTGCAACACTCTGCTCTCCCTTTCAAAGCAATTCTTATATTCTTAAGAAACGCCTCACTTTTCGAAGAACTGTACAAAAACTACCTGGAATAAAAGTTAAAATATTTCTCGAAGTTACAGAGTTTTTTTAAAGAAAATTTGCAACGGATATATAGTGAATGCAAATTTGTTCTCTCTTTTCCAAAGAAAAAAAACTGAATTATTTATAGCAGAGCGTGGTTTCGTTCCACGGGCCTCTGGATTATTGGCCCAGCACACTTTCACTGCACCACTCTCCTCCCGCTTTCAAAGCATTTCTAATATATTTAGAAACGCATCACTTTTAGAAGAATTAAACGAAAACGGCCGGGAATAAAAATTAAAATATCTCGCGATGTTATTGACCTATTTAAAAAAAAATTCGCAAAGGATTTATAGTGCTCTCAATATTGTTCTCCCTTTTCATATAAAAAGTTTTAAATCATTTGTAAAAACTAAAATATTTATAGCAGAGCGTGGTTTCGATCCACGGACCTCTGGGTTATGGGCCCAGTACGCTTCCACTGCACAACTCTGCTCTCGCTTTCAAAGCAATTTTTATATCCTTAAGAAACGCATCACTTTTAGACATATTGTTCTCTCTTTTCATATAAAAAAAAATTTAAAATCATTTATAAAAACTAAAATATTTATAGCAGAGCGTGGTTTCGATCCACGGACCTCTGGGTTATAGGCCATGGACTCTTCCAATGCAGCACTCCGCTCACGCTTTCAAAGCAATTCTAATATGCTTAAAAAACGCATCACTTTTAGAAGACTAGTACGAAAACGATCTGGAACAAAAGTTAAAATATCTCATGATAATATTGAGTTTTTTTTAAAAAAATTGCAACGGAATTATAGTGTTTGCTATATTTTTTTCTATTTTCATATGAAAAAAATAAAATATTTACAGCAGAGCTTGGTTTCGATTCACTAAAATCTGGGTTACGAGCCAGCACGCTTCCACTTCGCCACTCTACTCTCGCTTTCAAAGTAATTCTTCAATCATTTAGAAACGCATCACTTTTAGAAGAATCGAACAAAAGCTCCCTGGAAAAAAAATTAAAATATCTGGCGATGTTATTGATTAATTAAAAAAATTTCAACGGATTTATAGTGCTTGCAATATTTTTTTCTATTTTCATATGAAAAAACTTCAATATTTATAGCAGAGCGTGGTTTCGATCCACAAACATCTGGGATAAGGGCCCAGGAAACTTTCTCACGCTTTGAAAAAAATTCTTATATCCTTAAGAAACGCATCAATGGTCAAAGAATTGAACAAAAACGGCCTGAAAAAGAAATTAAAATAGTTTGCGAAGTTATTATTGAAGTATTTAAAAAAAATCCTACGGGTTTATAGTGCTTGCAATAATGTTCTCTATTTTCATCTGAATAAAAACTAAAATATTTATAGCAGATCGTGGTTTCGATACATGGACCTCTGGGTTATAGTCCCCGCATGCTTCCACTACGCCACTCTGCTCTCGCTGTCAAAGCACAATTCTAATATCCTTAAGAAACGCATCATTTTTAAAAGAATTAAACGAAAACGTACTGGAATAAAAGTTAAAATATCACTCGATGTTATTGAGTTTTTTTAAAGAAAATTACCACGGATTTATAGAGCTTGCAATATTGTTCTCTATTTTCATATAAAAAAACTAAAATATTTATAGCAGAGCGTGGTTTCTATCCACGAAACTCTAGGTTATGGTCCCTGCACTCTACCTGTATGCCACTCTGATTGCGGTTTCATAGCAAATCTAATACCCTTAAAAAATGTATCACTTTCAGAAGAATTGTAAGAAAACTAATTGGAATAAAATTTAAAACATCTCGTGATGTTCTTCAGTTTTATAAAATAAAATTTCAACGGATATATACTGCTTGCAATTTTGTTGTCTTTTTTCCCAAACAAAAAAAAACAAAATATTTATAGCGAATCGTGGTTTCAACCCATGGACCTCTAGTTTATGGTCCAAGCACGCTTCCAATGGTCCACTCTACGCTCTATTTCAAAGCAATTCTAATATCCTTAAAAAACACATCACTTTTAGAAGAATTGAACAAAAACGACCTGGAATAAAATTAAAATAAATCGCGATTTTATTGAGTTATTTAAAAAAAATTTCAACGGATATGTAGTACTTGCAATTTTGTTTTCTGTTTTCTAATGAAAAAAAAACTTAAATATTTAAAGCAGAGCGTGGTTTCGACGCACGATCTCTGACGTTATGGGCCCAACACGCTTCCACTGCGCCACTCGGCTCTACCTTTCAAAGAAAATTCTAATATCTTTAAAAAACGCATAACTTTTAAAGAATTGCACGAAAATGCCCTGGAATAAAAGTTAAAATATCTCGCGATGTGTTATTGAGTTATTTTTTTAAAAAAAATTGCAACGGATAAATAGTACTTGCATTTTTTGTATCAGTTTTCCTGTTCAATTTTCTGTCTTTACGTAAAGTTGTTTTTTTCGGTCGTCTAGATCCGCCGGTTCCGTGGACCTGTACAGATCCGTGGATCAATTGTTACCGGGCTGCACAAGGAATATTAAATTATTTCCATTTTATTTACTTTGTTGTATTTCTCTCAGGTTTGTGGGACTTTTTAAGGAAATCACTTTGTATTTTATTTAAGTCACTTTATAATCATTTTTAGTGTATTTGTAATTTATTCTTAGGCATGTTTAAATACAATTAAATTAAAAGAAACTTATTTGATATCGGGGGTAATAGCGCCAAGCAGCGTTTCTTGTTGCTGGACTGAAATCCAATATGGCGGCCAAGCGGTAATTTAATGATACACAATAATTTTAAAGGATTGTTTTGAAATACATTGAAATGTATTTCAAATAAAGGATATAGGAAGAGATTGAGAATAACCTACATAAATCAATAAATAATGAATATTAATATGTAATAAAAAGTATCATGTACTAAAAATAGTAGTATAAGCAGCATATAACAAATTATAATATTTTATCGTAATTATATATGTAATATGTTCATATAGTACGATTTTATAACAGTTATTAGAAATAATAATCATATAATATATTTAAATAGTAATTATAAAAAAAGAATAATCGTTTAATTGTAAAAAAATAAAAATAATGCATAAGATAACTCGTGTTACATAATTCTAAATAAGTAACATAAGAATAGCTATAAATAAACAACATAAATAGTTATAAATAAATAAGATAATTATAAATAAATAACAAGAATAATTATAAATAAATAACAAAATATGTAATAATATTTATAAATAAATGCTAAAAGAAACAATTATAAATAACGAATATTAAATGATTGTTACACATAGTAATAATTGCATTTTTTTTCATTATGAATAAAATAATTTCATAATCTATGTTAAAATTAATTAAGAATATCAATTACAATGTAGTGAAAGCTTGCAATATGAAACTTGAACTGCAAGTTCCTTCAACGAATTTCATCGAATAAAGAACGTAAAAAAAACATTTTTAAAGCGAAAATAAACGATTTATACGATAATTAAAAGCACAACACTTATTCTTTTAAGAAAAAAATATTCTAGAACTCACTCATTTTAGAATTATCCATATTCGAAAATAGCACAGAATTAAAATTGAAGACGCAAACAATAGAAAAATTACACTGAAAATGGTTAAATTTTTTAAAAAATCGTCTGAAATTAGTACGGTTACAGCGGGAAAAAACGAATTAAAGTTACTTCTAATATTCGTTATCCTCATGGCAACCACATCGACATACGATAAAAATATTAAGGTAACCATATTGTAATGTTATCGCCCATCTTGGAGAACATAAACAACTTGGCGCTATTACCCCCCGATATCAAATTAGCACCAATTAAAATTATAAAATCTAAATAATCTAAAATATAAGCAATCGACGACCATAGCCCTTTTAGCGTGCCGCGGAAAAACTATCAAATGTTTACCGGTCCGCGACATTTAAAAGATTGGGGAGCACTGGTCTAGATTGCTACTTGTCCGCAATAGAATTTGTTTCAGAATATCTTTTCAACGCTCTTACGACAGAAGAAAGTTTACATGTTACATCAGCAAAAATTTGGCTTATTTTTCCTTCTCTCTCAAAAGTGATATTTTGTATCTTTTATTATCAAGCAGAAATGAACATTTACACATTATTGCAATATCTTCTACATCCGCATTTCAAATTGTAATGCACAACTGGTTTCAATTCAATAAAACATGCTGCACATTCTGTTTTCAACTTCATCGCTACTGTTCTGTGATTGATTAGAATGAAGGAGCATTTTATTGATTGAAAAAATAATAAATCATTGAAATGGTGACCTTGCGCTTGCTTTATCATGGATTTTCAAAGTTTTGATGAAACTATTTACTCTACATACATTCTCACATATAGATTTGAAATCAGCATACCAAAATACATTAGAATGAATAAAAATAGGTGACATGTGTGGTACGATAATTCCATAACAAAAAGTTACGCAAAAAAAATTAGTGTGTTCGGGACTTTTGGTTACTACTGTAAATATTTCATGTATTAGTGATACAAAAGTGAATTCCCGAAGGAAAGTTTCTAGTTGAAACAAATATCCTAAACATGATTTTAATTTTCTTTCTTGTCGCTTCCTCCCGAAATTGATTAGTTTTGAAGGTTGATCCATTGCTCATAATTTCTATACGTACTATTATACCTGTATTATAGTTAGTGGAGTTCCAGCAACTCTATATTGATGTTATTAAAAACTGTAGTATTTTTAAATCCAAAATGCATGTATTAATTAGCATTATGCATAATAAATGTACACTTTCTTAGTTTCATTTTAATACTTGATATATATTTCTATATGTAAAGCCTATGCAAATTGCATAATATTTATTAGTAATTTCTGTAGAATATTGTAAATTAATTACGTCAGATGGAGCGGCAAGTGCTGATTCAACTGTTTAAATAACGAGGGTTCTTACGCATTATACCGTTGACCAAATCATCAAATAAAAAAAATTCCCAATCGTTATGATATACAGCTTATAGTGCAAAACTGTTTCTACACGTACAAGCACAATAACCTAATTCGGGCATACGATGACAGCATTTGGCGACGTTTATTGATTTGGCGAACGTAATCGGCGGTGTAATACGAAGTTAACGTAATCCATCGGAAGTAGCGGACACATAGAAAGTGGTATTTAAAAATATTAAATTGTTATAAAATAAAATTTTTATTGTTTTTTTTCTTTTTTAAAAATATTTTTATCTGTTTACACCTTACTGGAACTACGTACTTAACACTTGTCAAATATGAACAATTTGGAATCACTTATGTGTCTAAACTAAGGATTGGAATCTTGCTAATTTAAGATCACCCTGGATTATCAATGAATAATCAATCTTGAACAGAAAAAAAATCGCATTTTTACGCTTATTTTTAACAGTATTATTTAATTGATTGTATAATTTGTCAATTAAGTAACAGAAACTGCATTTCCAATGGTAAGTAAACGCCCTGAAGATGAACTGGTCATTTATTTGACAAAAGAGCCCATGAGGCATATGTCACAAAAATCTGCTATAACACTCTAATAAATCAAAAGCATGAATGGAGTAAACGCCCTGTAGCTTAACCGGTCATTCATTTGACAAAATGATTCATGTACCTCCTATCACATCAATCTGTAGCCTTGTTTTTTTATGTTTTATTCGGTTGAGTAAAGAAAGTATTACTTTGTGATTATTATTACTTTGTATAAGCAACGTATATATGTAGATCTACTCATTTGTATTAATTCTCTACGTATATTTCAATGTACCTTACTGCGAATAATTGTGACATCTACATTATTTGTTTTGATGCGGTTTACATGCAAGATCAATTTAAATATTATAGAGAGTGACAAAAGCCACAGAGAGAGAGAGAGAGATATGATAAAGTTAAATAATACATTTATTAAGGTAAATAGAATTTATTAGGGCAATAAAAGGTAGTAAAAAAAGTAGGGGTAAAAAGTAATTAAAGTGTCGTCACATTCCACGAAGTGTCCATCTTGTCAGCATCAGCTTGTCGTTCTTCTCGTCTTCCGTATAGTTTACCTTATGGCCGCTCTATTGTCCTATTGGTCCATAATTCCCGCGTTATTCTGGAACTACCTTGTCAGCTAGGTCACTCTCTCTAGGCATTATGTTCCGTGTAGGGCAGCGATGCACGTTAAATCTGTCGAGAGCTAAAACGTCCTCCCGTTAGTGTAGTGTGGTAGTTAGGAGAGGGGTGCCAACTCAGGTGTCGTCCACGTCACTTGATCATGGTTCAAATTACGTGGTCTGTTGCCAAAAGCCCTCGTGTAGCTGAACAGTGTGACGTTAATATTCACTCACTCACTCACTTGGCATTATGTCAGCGGGAAATGTAAGGAGGATACGACAACGTGCAAATCCCCCTTCCTACACTATCTATGATAATGTCATTCTTTTTATTCAAGTACAACAGTGTTCTTCAAACTTTGTATTTGAAGGCATACCCAGGGATTTCACGAGTCACAACAAAATATCTAAAAGTGACCCAAAAATAGTGTCCAAATTCTGCACAGCCAGACTCCTTGTTGGAAATACATAAAAAATGCCTAAAGGTAACCTGTACAATCCATATAGTTTACGAGAAAAATAGGAAAACATTTATGACGTCATAGCCATATAAGACATATTAACAGCAGTATTTGCATATATTTATAAAGGCGGGTGTTCAAAGTGTTCACTGGACATATCGAAGCAGGCTTAAGCACGTCATGGAATGAAAAAAGTTCATGAGTACTAGCAGCGAGGTGGCGACTGAAATACAAGCAGCATGCAGACGACCAGCTAAGTACATTTGTGCAATCACACGTCTCGATACACCAATTCCTTGGTATTGCCCCAAATGCATAACATCCAATAGCGTCCGTGGGGGACATAGAACCGGATTCCGTGTTCTGTCCAGCAACGGAAGTATGCCATATCTAGCCGATTACGTACAGGAGCACAGAAATGCGAGGGAATCCAATCATACATCATTATTTCTTCATCCCCAGGAATTTTCATTTACCGTATTTTTTTCGAAAACTATGGATCGTGCAGGTACAGTTCTTTGGGCAATTTTATGTACTAACAACGATGAATCTGACAGTGTAGTGCTAAAGCGCTATTTTTGGAGCACCCTGTATAAATGCTTAAGCAAAATGGATTTGCGTTCTCTATGGAGTTTGCATAACCACGAGTATCTAACCAAACTTTT